ATTATTGAAATTCCATACATCTTCCTTGAAGCAGTTTTGTTTTCGATGATTACATATCCAGCAATAAACTTCTATAAGTCAGCCTACAAAGTGTTATGGTTCCTCTACGCCATGTTTTGTACCTTGCTGTACTTCAAATACTTAGGCTTGATGCTTGTTTCATTGACTCCAACTTCCCAAGTGGCAGCAATATTCGCAAGTTTCTCCTCTACGCTACTAAGTTTGTTCTCAGGGTACCTCATACCAGAACCAGTACGCTAACCCTGTCTTTCCTTTGCTCAACAAATACTAAATCATATTCACTATTTCATCATTTTATGATAAAATTCATCAACTAGGCATACACATTGCAGGATAGTGACAAAGGTGCACATCATTTATCTTGAAAATTTCACTAATCTTTTCCATCCCTTACTTGTGTAAAATGTTTCCACAACCTGCAGTAGATTAAAAAAAGAAAAAAAAAAAAAAAGAACACTTGGAACAAATTCCAATTCAGCAGACTCAATCCTGGTACCTTTTACTTGCAGCAAATACCTAAATGGTGGGTTTGGGCTTATTGGATTTCCCCGTCTTCATGGTCCCTAAAAGCGATCGTTACTTCACAATATGCAGATGTGAACAAGGTAATCACAGCATTTGGAGAGCAGAAAACAATCAGTGCCTTCTTGGAAAGCCAGCAAGGGTATAAACATCAAGATTTACCCATCATAGCAATTGTACTTCTTGCTTTTCCACTTTTCTTTGCATCCATTTTTGCATACTGTATATCTAAACTGAACTTCCAAAGGAGGTAAAGAAGGAATGCTTAATATGAAGAGTGTTCATTTTTTTTTCACAAAGAAATGGATGGAGAGAATCGGTAGGAAGATGAAGAGCAGAACCTAAACTAAAATGGAGAAAAGTATATCACTTCAACTCAAATTTTCTCAATACAATCTCTCCTATTTATAGGAGAATACAAACTCAATTCAAAATTCAAATCTAAGCAACTATTCTACATTAAAAAACAATAAAAGTACACTTTAAATTTGAAAATAACAGCCACTTTTGCTGCATGCTTGCGTCCTTTGGCAGCTCTGCAGCATGCCTGGTCCCTTCATTTCATTTACATTTGCATTTGCATTTGAGTTTGCATTTCATTTTCTGTTCATTTCATCCTCATTTCATCAACATTTGCAGCTTATCTTACTGCACTTTGCTGCTACCGTGCTGTGCAGCTCTCCCTTCTTCATTTGCTGCCATTTGATGCAGCCTTTCATCTTCATTTGCTGCCATTTTGTCCAACTCTCATCTTCAAAGAGTTTTAAAGATAAAAATTTATCCAAATAAAAAAAGAGTTACAATTGAAATTGCAAAACACTAGTATTCGATGGGAGGATCCTTACCTAATATTAAGTTTTTCTTAGTTTAATTCGTATTTTATAATTTAGTAATTAGTATTTTAGTACACATTAAAAAATTACTCTTTTTTCAATAAAAAAAATTAAGAATATGTACACCAAAAGGGCTTGCGGAGAGTCAGGACTGCTGACTTTTCGTCTTCTGTATTCAAAAAATGTTAGTGAAAGATTAATATTTAATTACATTATTATTATTTCTTTTTGAACAGTTTTGTCATGAGCGGGTTCGAAACTCGTCCAGGAGAGGGGGATGTGCACTTTTCAGTTGCTCTAGTCACTGGGCCACACGGGCCAATTGCATTTAATTACATTATTTACCCCAAAAAAAAAGTTAGGAATATATTTACCAAAAGGACATTCTTCTAAACTGATGAACTCAGTCCCTTAATTGCATCATTTCATTTACAAGATTATAGAAATGCAGCGCTACAGCAGATAACGCCATCTATGCTTTGCTTAGAATCGGAGATCAAACCTCAAAGATTGGTATACCGAAGATACTGTGACGTCAGAAAATTTGACTAATTAAAGCATCTGATTTCCATATCTTTTAAGTCTCATATAGAATAGAACCTGGGACGTTTTTAAGGGAAATATACGTGCACATGGCATAAATTTTCAGGATATTATAAATTTATAATATATTATTATATAATTAATTTTTTATTTATAAATTTATTTATAATTTAATATATATTTAATATTATATTATATTATATTAATTTAATATTATATTATAATTATAATTTTATAATTTTATGTGATATTATAAATATAATATTACAATTATAAATTACATTTTCATTTGACTTAAAAAGAAAGGAAAACTGTTGAACTTTCAAATCTATTACCAAATAAAGGTCGAGACAGATTTGTCATGTGAAAAAATATAAAGATAAATAATTTTTTAAATTACCGATGGAGATAATAATTTATTATTTAATAATTAATATCATTATCTATAAACTACAAACAGATACCTAAAAAGCTATCAAATAATAAGTTATTAAATGGCAAACAGACCAACGAGGGTTGGATCAAGTAGTAAGCGACTTGTTTCAGTTTAAGTAAGATCTCGAGTTTGAGACATTGTGTACGCAGCAGCCCCCGTTGAGAGACTCACCCACCATTTTCAGGTGCGCGACATGGGTCGTATCCGGATTAATCAAGATGAAATCCCGGATACCGGACGAGAAACCAAAAAAAAAAATTAAATGGCAAACGGATTCCTAATGTATAATGGTGTCATTTATTAAATAATAAATTATTTATCTTATTCAATAATTTAGCAAGTAATTTATCCCCTTTTTTTTTGAGTAAATCTATCTCTATTCTTATTTTTATTTGGGGTAGATTTAGGGATCCGGTAAAAAGAAATTACATTCAATTTGCATAATATACAAATATGATATCTATGTTTATATGCTTTTAAATTAATTTTTATGCGATTCAAAAAATGTGCAATTCATGAAGTATTTGCGTTTAAATGTCCCCAAATCAACTTTTTGCAATCTAGGAAATGTACAAATATGATACTTTTTATATAAAAGTTAAGAATTGTATGTTAAATTTGTAATTAAAAATATAAATAATTCTGTTCTTAAACTACATGATTATTAGTATAAATACATGGTATTTATACAAATATATCACTACTAAACAGAGTAATGACTAATGACTAATGACAACGAAACTACAAGAAATAGGCCTCTGCCATTACCGTGCTGAAGCGGTGTTTACCAGAAGAAGGTTGAATACCACTTGTACCTGCCATTCGGTATTTTCAACCGAACCATGCTTCCAAATTTGGGTTGGCAAGGGCGGTTGCCATGGCAGGCTGGCAGTTCGCCCAGCCTCCTATTGTATACTTTTTTTTAACATTTTCTTTTGGCAAAAACCCTTTTTAAGCCCCCAAACTTAACCCAAAATAATATTTAAGCTCCTAAACTAAAAATGAAGTAGATAAGTCATCTAACTCCACTAACAATGCAAATAAACCTTTCTCATTCATGGGTGTTTATGCTTTCAATGTGATATTAAACATAAAAGACTATTTGACCAATTTATAAGAAGAACTTATTTGCATTTTTAATAAAATTGAAGAACTTATTTATTTTATTTTTAGTTTAGAGGTTTAAATAATATTTTGAAATAAATTTGAGGGCTTAAGAAGAGTTTTTACCTTTTCTTTTCCATACGCAAATACAACTGTTGATTTATTACCAAAAAAATTAAAAAAAACAAAACAACTGTTGATCACGCGTTTATACATTGATGAGTTTAATTGATCGATCTTTCTCCATTTTTATTTTGCCTCCTATTCGTGAAAGCAGCTCTGACACGACAATTTTTTTAATTTTGCACTAAAAACATACTTACGTAGACGGAATCCTATGCTAAGTCTTTAAATATAATTCAGGTTTTGTATTAAAATTTTAAATTTTTATTAAAGTAAATAAAATTTTTAATTCAAAGTAATTTAACCCTCTCTTTTTACTACACACTTAATACTCATTCATATTTTATTTATGTAGATCAGATATTAAAATACTATTATGTACATAGTAAATATTAATTTTATTCATGTAAATAAAGTACAAACAAAAATTAAACTTGTGTTAAGAAAAAGAATTAAATTATCTAAATTATTAAATTTAAAAACTTATTTACTTGAATAAAAATTTAAAAATTTTAATTGAGAATCTAAGTTCGGGGGTTTAATGTGAAATTTTACCATCTATATATGGAGATGGCTTAATACAGCCGATCTCCCTAAATTATTTGTTACATGACTTGTTTAAAAATTTATTTTTTAATCATGTAAATATTAATTTTTATATTAATACAAAAATTATATAAAAACTATGACACTTTAATAAAAAAATTTATTTATTGATATGTATTTAGTAATATTAAATTTTATTTAACCAATAAATATATTAAGTTTATTTTTACTATTAAATAATTTAAAAATTAACATATATAATTTATATCACTAAAAATTTCAATATATTTAAAA